TTTGTTTAAATTGTCAAATTCTATTATCTATTACATTTTGTTTAAATTGTCAAATTCTATTATTTCTATTATTATTATTATTTCAAAAGTTATTTAATTCTTTATTCTGATTAATCATTTATAATCTATATATTCCTTTATGTTGTTGTTGTTGTTGTTGTTTGTTAGTTTCATTTCTTATCGTTTATTGAATAAATCTAATTGTTGAAAGATATTGACCTGTGGATTTCACTCCTTAACCGCACACCACACGAATCCCACAATCTTAATTTGCGAAAACGAATCGTTCAGTGAGTAAAAGCCGCTCTTTACCTTCCTAGCGCTTGTAACTATCTGAACTTAGGTTCCAGGGACGTTACATATGTTTCGGGTATCAGGTAGTTATCGGATTAAAACCTAAATTTCAATTTAATCGACGTCATACCAGATTCATAGTGGATTTTTATGAATTCAGTACTGTAAATAAATAATTGTATTTTCTTGTACAATGTAGTGTGCGACCCATATTTAAGTGTTTGATCTTTACTTTTAATGTATTATTACTATACAAGTGTTATTATTAAAAAGTAATACATTATAATGAAATATGTTTTGTATAAAAATAATTATTACTTAACTGTTGCAAAAATGACAGCGCGAAAACTATACATTCTCTTGCGAATAAACAGTAAAGTTCCGATATAAATGAGAATGATCTGTGGGATATAAACGAAAGTTGAGATCTGAAAGATTCTCACTATATTGGCTTTTAGTTTTAGTTTATTCACAGAAAATACTCTTTATATTTTTTACATCATGTATTTCGATAAGTTGATTTTGCCATTTTCTAAAGAATGATCTCATGCATCTACCATTAAATTTTTATTCAAACAAGTGAAAAAGTTTTCTAAATTTTATGTACATAATCCTGAGAAACAAGCAACATAAAATCTCATATGAAATGTAATGTGTAATGTGTTGCACTTAATGTGTGTTATCATATTATTAATTAGCATTTCGTCAATTTTTTGGATGTTACAATTCGGTTTGATTGAAGATACTTATGAAAGATACAGCTATTGAAATGGTTAAAAATCTAAAAGTCAAATTTTTATAGATTTCAAAAGCATTTTATCCTCTTGCAGTACAAAGCGATCATTGGTTCTATCTTTTTACACGCGTCTCTGTTCGACGACTCACCTAAGAAAATCTGCATGGATTATTCTGCATCTCTAAAGTTTAAAAAAGGACTGATGGATTTATGAGATCAGACTGCTTTGTGCTCCCTAAAGAGTCTTATCTGTTTACGCCCCTTGCCGACTTGATATTGACTTAAAATGATATGACGTGAGCTACATATTCAATTGGCAGTCATTTGAAACGGGCTTGTCGGAAACTGATATTTCAACTTTCAATTGTTCATGCCACGAAAAGGAATTTTTTATTTGTTTTCACAGAGGTGATCACTGATTTACGGTTTAGGTGCTATTGTTGTAACACACTGTGAAACAATTATCTGTCAAAAACAATGTAACAACTATTATTGATTTATCATAAAGCATCTTTGAGACTATATAAATTATACGATAGCTTTATATATGCAGATTGTTCCATAACTGGTGGTACAACTGAAAAGGAGGTGATTCTACATTTTACATAAAAAAATAAGTCGAAAATGGCGAATAACATTTTTTCACATGAAGCTTAACAAGTATGTAATACTGAAACAATGTTAAGCACAATCTTATTGTACCAATTATTAAAAATAATCATCGAAAATAAATCCATCTTGACTTACTAATGGTAACGAGAGTAACTAGTAATATTTATATGCAAAACCGATGGATTTGTTTCAGTTCTAAGTTGTGGAGTTGAGAAACATCGGGAGGACAAACAGGGAAGAGTGCTGGATGGTAAAACCGGGATTAGAAGAGAAAAAGAAGAGGACACGAAAAGCGCAGACAATATTTCAAGGAGTGCCGCCTTGCCTTCCAGACAAAATCTTTTAGAGTTGGTCAGCGGTAAATACATGAGTCCTCATACGCCCACGCATCATTATTACCAGCAACAGCAACAGGTTAGTTTTATTATCGCGTCCGCATGTACAATAATTTAACCAATACTGTCCATTGAACTACATCTGACACTCATATCCACAGTATAAATTTAAATTAAATAATAACAATAAAATAATTTAAATTTATTAAAATGAGAATTGAGAATAATAAATTGAGGATAAATGAAGTTACAGTATCTCTAGTAAATTGTGTAATAACTGTGTGCAACATACATATTTTATAGCGACAAATGCATATTATTACTATTTCTTCCTACAGATTTAAGTATTATCAAGGGTAAAAATTTATTTAAAATTGCTGATTCTCTGTTTCAAGGGAATAAGTTGCTGATATTTGAGCAATCCAAAAATATCAGGTCTCGCAAAAAATTCTGTTGTATTCTGTTGTATAATACGATTATAAGTATCTTAGATATAAAATTGTCTATTTAGTCTGAAAATGGACACACAATTCATTCTCAAGGGTCCTCCGTGTCTTTACTGCGAAATATGATTCATTTCAAACTTTTGAAAGAATTACTGTTAAAGTAAAGCATTAATAATACTTGCACTTCATGGGAACCCCCATATTCAATAATATTGCAGAAATAGTAGATACCTTTCACACTGCTTTTATACCACATTATCCAATTAACGTTTAAAAGCTCCTGCGAATACTCTAGGTATGGATGTATGTACCTGCTCGCTGTATTTTATGGGCATTTCTAATTATGCGCTCATCTTGCAAATATCACCAAGATTTTTCTACCTATACATATTTTTTCCATCGTTTTCGAAATAATTATCTACATAGTTTCTAGTCCACACGTGCATTATTGGATATGGATATAAGAAATAATTTATTACACAGTGAATTGAATTATTTAAAAACGTCTGTTTATTATTTTGTCGCTGCACGGGAAAGATCTGGACTAACAAATTAACACTGAACTGGTTTAAATTTAAAAAAAAAACTGGGCTCAAGAAAAATTTGTAGAAATATCTCTATTTCTTTACTTAAGTACAGTAAATATTCTATATACGCACATCTTTCGGGTCTGAGGTTTTGCGTACATCGTACAGGTCCTACATTGATTGATATTTTGCCGAACGTAGAAAAGGACAGAACAAAAAAATAACACGGTCGCCGTTTGCGTATATCGTAAAGGTACTACATTTCGAGCGAAGGAGACTGAACATAAACAAACAGTGACCTATCGGTAGGACACTCCTAATGCAAGAATAAAACTTTTTTATTGTTTATTTTTTTTTTTTGAAAATTTTTCCATCATATTTGTAACATTTTTGTCGTCAAAAATAATTTTAAGAAAAAAAATACGCCGACTTCGAAATGCACTAAAAAGTATAAAATAATTTCTATTTCCTAATGAAGTAATTTCTATTTCATTCAATCATACAATTACGTAACAGATATGAATGAAACCTATTTACTCGTTAGGTAGTATATTAAATACATTTCAACCTTTTCGGAGGCGGCGCAAAATTAAATATACCTCAGTAAACGTTGCTGCCAATAACCAGTTTATTGTGGTACAGCGTATTGGAAATTAATAAATCCTGAGAAAGAATACGAACCATTATTGTAGATATATCTGGTAATATACGTAAATGTAACGACTGCATCTTCATCCCCCAGTGGTGGGGATAACATTTTTGCTTATATTGTAAAGAACATTTTTGCGTATATAGAATGATTATTGTACAAACTATTTATACTATAAAGCTTTTTTTTATCAAACGCCGATTAGTCGATTAGTTTTTGTTAAACATATAAGCCAACATGTATTTATTTCACGTAACCCTTTCAACAATAACAAACCATGTGACGGCGCGATGCGGTGGGGGAACTGGAAAAAGGTTCCCTGAGGTGAAGGGCGACCAGGGAAAGTGGCCCTCCACGGACCGACGCTCACACCCACGGACGATTTCTAAAACAGGGCGCCAGTGCAAATGCATGCGTCCGGGAGAATCGCTCTTCTGGCTGTTCGATCAGGAGCGGAAATCAGAGGGGGTCAGGAAATAACTAGATGACCCGCGAGTATGTATCCAATGAAAAACTTTAATGAGTGCCGAAACACGCCACGCAAACGGAACGAAAATGAGCCCCACGCGGTACAGAGCTCACGGCTCACAGAGCTGATGGCTAGATCCTGGGGCCCCTTTGTGGTGGCGGCTGGGGGTAGCTTTTCCCCAGGCCTGGCGTTCCTTGGCGATGGGCTGCCGATCGCCTGCGCGGAGGTTGACGGGTGGCGCGGCGACCGGACAGCCGACGGTTCCACCCCTCGGTGGGTCCATCCTGCTCCTCCGCCGCTCAGGTGGAGGTCTCCCGCGACCGGGGACGGCGAACTCCTCTTCCGTCGACGCCGCTGGTGAAAAGGGTGAAGAAAAAGAAAACGAAACTATTTATGAAAAACGAATGAAAACAGAAGAAAACCGCTCTCGCACACACGCCCCAGTGGCGAGGGATCCGCTTGGGCGGAAGAGTGAGGCCGGCGGGCTTGATGGTTATTCGTAACGAGGCAAGAAAAAAAAAGGAAGAAAAAATATGCCTCGTTACAACCATTAATACATTTGTCAATGTTGTATTCATAAAATACACGAAAAACTGAAAGCAAGTCACCCATATTGAATTGTATAATTTTTTATTTTTTATTTAATTTTTTAGAATTCAAATAAGTGAAGCATATATTCCTTGAACAGGATGTTCCACAAGGAGGGGTGCTCAGTCCCTCATTTTTCTTATTCTATGTCTCCAACATAACAGAAAGTATTCCTAACAACGTTTATGTATCGCAGTTTGCCGACGATCTGGCAGTGTATGTTAAATGCAAATGTATCAAAAGAGCTCAGAACACAATAATAAATGCAATAAATATCATTAGTAAGAACCTGTATAAGTTAGGGTTGGTGCTTACTCCGCATAAGACCAAATTAATTCGTTTCAATAACCGAAATTTTCTACCGGGCACAACTAAAATAAGAATTAACAACTGTGTCATAGCCTCTAGGGAATCAGCTCGCTTTCTAGGAATTGTTTAAAATGCATGTAAACGCAGTTCTTGAAAAATGCAACAAGGTTTTAAATATAATTAAATATCTTCGCGGTACTTGGTGCTGATCCCGAAACCCTTACTATTCTCTATAAAAGTTTGATTCGGTTCATTTTCGATTACGCCTGTTTCATTTACTTCCCCACCCGGAAATCTGTATCTGATAAGCTGGAGAAAATTCAGAATACTGCGATCAGACTGACGTTAGGTTATCGGAAATCCACGCCGCTAAATATACTTCTGGGGGAATCTAAGTTGACGTTACTAAGAGAACGAGCCAACCAGTTGTGCAATTGCTTTTTGGCAAAGACCTTTTAGGAGTTGGTGGGTGAATAAAAAATGTCTAAGTCTTTACTGATCAAGACGGAGCGAATCTTTATTTTTAAAGGATGAGGTGCTAAGCGCGAAGGTTTGTTAAGAACTGCTCTCTGCACCCGTGATGCGTTTTCTCGACACATCTCACATCCCTTGGTGGAGGTGTCTTCCAAAACGACAAATTTGGCAATGCAGCGGGATTTCCCGGTGACCACTTACCGCTCCCCTGCACGGTCAGGGACCGCCAAGCCCGGAACCGTGGTCCCTTCGGAAATCCCCGGTTTATGATGCCGTACGTAGCTATTGAGACCGTTGACGAAAAACTACAAAACATGCCTCGAGAAAATCTAACGGTATCCTCAAAAATAGCCGTTTTGACCGTATACGTCGTAAACCGTGCTGGCCTTTTGCACTTACCATGATCGCTTAAGAAATCACGAAGCCAGCCGCTACATCACACCCTTACCAGTGCCAACGCTATGTTATACAAAAATACATAACAATTACATGTACTAACTAGCGGCGCTCTTACAACTAATTACAACTAGTTTAAGCCTAAAGTTTATTTACATTTCTTAACCTACTATGTACAATTAAAACTACTTGTACCGCTAGCGACCAACCTCTAAACGATCCGGGAATCTTACACGTCTACCCGAACGCGTTTGATACGGTTTGTCAGTACTAATTGGCTGATCATACGTCGTAGGTTGACGCATGAAATATACTGGCGTTTGTTCATTAATATCGCTCGTTGTATCGTCGGGTTCGAATATACGAGGTGTGACACAAAAGTAACGAGACTAGGTCTGTAACTTGAAAAAACAATGGAATTAGCAGCAATTGTTTTTGTGGCATCATCCCACATACCTCCTCTATCCATGTTGCCAATTTCGATTGAATCGGTCATACCATTTGGAAATATTGCGTTATTTAGTGAACACGTGCAACTGCATTCTGCCGGAAAAATGTCTAACGTAAAAACCGAACAGCGAATAAACATCAAGTTTCTTGTAAAATTTGTTGAAATCTGTTGTAACATGTGATGAGACATGTATTTTTACCTATGACTCACAAAGTAAGCGCCAGTCGATGCAATGGAAGTCTTCAGGAT